ATTGACCTTGCAAATTGGACCCTCCACGTGGCCAACTGATAGTTACTCCACGTATTTCTCCTTACGCACAGTCAGATGCGCACGGTCGGAACCAGCAGGGGTGGTAGCAGCCGCATATACTCCGACGGTCAAGTTAGTTTCAGGTGATTGGAACGATGCCCAGGGTTGTGCGAAATGGTGGGGAGGAGAATATATATATTTGCTTGTTATGGAAAGCTATGTTGTAAGAGTTTCATTACCTTTACCTCTTGTCGAACCTTGGATATTTATAGGTGAGGTGAATCGTTGGATGTGGGACACATGTATGCATTTAACGGTGTGAGGCGTCTGCTCATAGGTGTTAATCAGCCGCGTCTATAGAGTGGGTAGGTAATTACTTCTTTCGAGTTGAGTTGACATAAAGTTGATACGTCACATCAATTAGGCACATGGAGACGTCAAATCAATTAAACTTTGGGGGCAGAAATGATTTTGACATAGATCTCTTTTTGAAATTGGCTGCGGATCCTTTGACAGAGAACCTCGAAATGTACTATGCCTCGGCTTCAGGAATGAGGGCTCTTCGATCGGTTCAGTAGATTGTCTATGCCTCGCAGAACGTGCAGATTGACAACATTGGTGGTGGCGTCACTTCGAAAACACTTCGGATGGGTGTTAAACACCTCGTATGACGCGGGGGGAGACTTTTCGAAGTGGTTCAGATAAGGGCGTAACAGTGGTCCCCCCCAAGTTCAGGCATGAATATTTATATCATGGATGAACTTGTTTTCCAGATCGAGCATGTCTGCCTTAGGATAGGGACCGTGATTTGTGCGAACTTATGGGTCGATTTTCTGTGTTCACTAAAGCATTAATCTTAGGCAGACGCACTAAAGATTCATTACTGTGTAAGGAAAGAACTTATTCGAGACCGATGTGCTGCTAACTAGATGATGCGTTGGGAGACTGCCGAAGTTTTGTAAAGTTTAGGAGGGAATGCAGATATCGAGGTGATGACCCATAGGGGACTCCGCTTCAAGTGCGTCTAAGCTTAGTAAAGCGGAGTGAGGAGCTCATCTACCACGAATCTTTGGGAAAGTGGCCACAGCAGACCAAGCTCCCAAAGAGGTTACGGGTGCGCCGACCTATATGGGGATGACGCGTTGGGAGATGCCTAAAGCTTTGTAAAACTTAGGAGGAAACGCAGCTATCGAGGTGATGACCTACAGGGGACTTCGCGTCAGGTGCGTCTAAACTTAGTAAAGTTGAGTAAAGAGCTCAATCTGAGGCGGACATCTCTGACTTTAAATGATTTTACAGCTGTCGGGTATTTTCAAGGCGACAGTTGGTTGCGATGCCCATTCCCAGAAAAGGCTGCTGCGGCTACTTATTGTAGACGGCTGATGGTGATCGAGGCGACGCATTTTGCATGAACGTGAAGGTTACAGCTAGATCTTAGGCGTAAATCAAATCTGGCATTTCATTTCAACGGCCTAGATTGATGATGCGACGGACGACCTAGATTGATTGCATTTGAATTTAACGGTGGAGATCAATTGGGACGCTCTATAAAAAGTGGACTTGAGAGTTTTTGGAGCTTTTCACTTTTGATAATTCGAAATCCCCATTTACTTTCAAAATCTTTGCATTTTTCGACGATCTTCAAGCAATTTTCGATGAGAAATCCCGATTTTCGACGACTCTCTTTCTTGACCATTTTCGGCTGTGGGATATTCCATTTCGAAAGTTTCAGTAAGTATTTGAAACTTTTTATTTCTGAAAATGGCTTTTGAGAGTAATGGTAGCTCGGGGAGGGGATTGGAACTAGTGAGGATGGAAGAGCCTATTTTGGCGACTTCCTCTGAAATAGCCGAAGCGATTATTTGGGGGAGAACATATGGAAGAGATCATATAGCCCAGTAGACACATCTGTGCATTGGGGGGCGTCGAATTACTCCTCTAAGCTAAAGGGTGCCGACCTAGAAAGACATAGGGCTAAATATAGGATCCCAAATAGTGTAGATCTGATCCTACCAGAACCTGACGAACAGGCCTGCTACCCTAGGCCAGGGCGTGTGACAATCAGTGAGGCGATCCTTAGGCCTAGCCTTAGGCTCCCAATCCACCCTTTTTTCTGTATGGTACTTAGGTCATACGGCTTAGCTCCTATCCAATTGAACCCGAACTCCTGGAGTCAAATGGTGGGTTCCTGGATGTTGTGGAAGGAGGCGTCGCTTGGGGTAGAGATGCCTTTTTTTGTATTTCAGACCCTCTACATCCCCAAGGTAGCGACTGGGAGGGATAAGACCAGGGGCTGGTACTACTTGACCTCGTGGGGTTCCCACACTCCATTCGTGCTTGATCTGCCGATCCAGAGGAGCCAGTGAAAGAAGTGCTGGAGGCTCTTCCTCCAGAGAAGGCTGTGGTGGCGGTGGTCTACAATAAGTATTGGACCGAGGAATGGAGAGACAGTGCTTGTGTGGCTTGAGCCTTAAGCACAAGCTTCAAACTTGAGGGCTTGGTGAAAGACCTCAACGGTAAGAGGGAGGACTTCGCTCAGCGCCTTGAGGAGGTGATGAGGTGAGGAAGGCTCAGGCCAAGATCGAAGAGGAAGAGAGGGGAAGGAAGGAGGCTGAGGTCCAGCTGGGGATTGCCAAGAGGGACATAGAGCGGCTATAGAAGGAGCTCTATGAAGTGGAGTTCCAGGTGGCTGCTATGACCTAAAGAGTTGATCATGCAAACGAGTACCACGGGCTCGCCAGGGATGCTCTGGAGGCCTCTAATAAAGAAAAGACGGAGTTGAGGCAGAGGGTAGATGCCTAAGCTGAGGAGATTGCTTCTTTGAAGGAGGAGCTTAAGTCAGCAGGGGAGGTGGCTGTGCATAACTTCATTGACCACTTCGAAGAGCATTCCCTGTACGACGATTTTGCAAACTTTTGGGCCTCTTGGAGTGCCCAAGGAGTATTGGGTCGCTGAAAGAGGTCCACCCCACTCTGGATATATCTTCGTTGGAGGCAGAGTTTGGTGGGCCTACTAGACGTCGGCCTAATAGGCTCACAGGGAACCCTTCATAGGCCCCTGGGGCAGGCTAGGCGGAGGCTGGGGTAGAGGATGCCCCAGTAGAGTAGAGTTAACCAATCTTTGTAATGGCTTTGACCTCTTTTGTAATTCAATTCCCAAAAGAATGAAAATGAAAATTTTTGTACAATTATTGTTGTTTCTGTTTTTTCATTATGTTGAGTTGTTTATACTTAAGTATATGAATGACAACCACTTAAGCGCCTATTACCAATAACCAATTAATAACAGAAGATCGGATCAATTAACATATTGAAGAACTGAGATAACAATTTACTAACCGATATGACAAACAACTGAAGTATCATTACTTAAGAGGAATTACATCACTCTTCACTAAGGCATTTTCAGCACTTAGTAAGATAGGGAAGTTACAAATGAGATCGGATCATGACATACATTTACTAGACATCATTGAGATCGGATCGGAACACAAGCTCATTATTGATATTACTTCCTCAAATGTTCGATGTTCCATTGATGAAGCAGTACTTTCCCTGCCATGTCTTCAATTTCAAAAGTGCCAGGTCAGGATTCCCTGCGGATGTGGTAAGGGCCCTTCCAATTCGGTCCTAACACTCTGGACCCAGTTGGCTTTGATGATTGGAAGACCCTTCTAAGGACGAGGTCTCCCAGACGAAGAGTTCGATTTCTGACATTGGAGTTATAATAGCGGGTCATCTTTCTATGATACTTTGCCAAGTTCACCTGGGAGGCATCCCTGCTTTCTTCAAAGAGGTGGAGTTCGTTCATTTGAGTCTCGTCGTTACTGATCTCATTGAAGTGTATTCTGTGGTGCGATGGGACACCTACCTCAACCAGGCTCATGGTCTCGGCTCCGTAGGTCATGGGGAAGGGTGTCTCCCCCGTTGCAGTTCGACTAGTTGTTCTGAAGGCCCATAGGACGTGGGGAAGCTCATCGACCCAAGCGCACTTTGAGGTGTCAGGCTTCCTTTTCAGGGTATGCTTGATTGTTTTGTTTATTGCCCCAACTTGCCCATTTGCTTGTGGGTGGTGAGGCGTTGATAAATCCTTCTTTATGCCTAGTTCGTCACGTAAGTCTCGCATTTTCTTGTTGTCAAACTGTCTCCCGTTGTCAGATACTAAGGAGTAGGGAATGCCGAACCTGCAAAGGATGTTTTTCCAGACGAATTTTGTAGTATTCGCTTCGGTGATCTTGGCAAGAGGTTCGACTTCGACCCACTTGGTAAAATAGTCGAGGATGACAATGGCAAAAATAACGCTTCTTCTTCCTTTTGGGAGTGGACCGATGAAGTCGGTGCCCCATTTGGCGAACGGCCAAGGGCTATCACTACGGAGAGGCTCTGAGAAGCTTGTCTTTGAATATTTGAGAAGCACTGGCACTTATCACATTTTTGGACAAACTGGCAAGCATCCCCTTTCAGGGTCGGCCAAAAGTAGCCTTGCCGGAGAACTTTGTGTGCCAGAGCCGTTCCTCCGGTGTGATTTTCGCAGATTTCCTCATGGATTTCCCTGAGTATATACTTGACCTCTTCGCCTCCTACACATTGAAGAAGTAGCGAGGCGAAGCCTCTTTTGTAGAGGACATCTTCTTGTAGGACGAAGTGTGCAGCTCTTCTGTTTAACTTCCTTGCCTCGCTTCTAGAGACTGGTGGTGATTGGTTCTTAAGATAGGTGATGATGGGCTGTATCCATAACGGGATGCCTTCTATCCATAGCACCTCTTCACCTCCGAAAATGGAGGGCTTCGATAAGTGTTCAATGGGTACAACCTTTAGTAGCTCTGAGTCTTTCCTGCTGGCCAATTTTGACAGAGCGTCTACATGAGTATTCTCTAGGCGTGGGACTTGAATCAGGTCGATCGTTTCAAAATGAGAAAGTAGGTCCAGAACGAATTTCAAGTATGCAACCATGCTACTATCTTTGGTCGCGAAGTTTCCATTGACCTGACTCACTACAAGCTAAGAATTGCTGCTTGCTAGGAGCCTTCTGACCTGCATTTTCCTCTCCAGTCTAAGGCCTGCTAGAAGAGCCTCATATTCAGCAGTGTTGTTCAAGGCTTTAAAATCAAACCTTACTGCGCAATTTAGCTTGTGGCCTTCGTGGAGCCGGCCTCTCTTGAGGATCCATCTATGAACATTTCCCATGTTGAAGGCTCAACTGGTTCCATTGTCGTTTCCATTTTCTAGGGTTTCGGCAAATTCAGCCACAAAATCTATAAGGGCCTGACCCTTGATGGCATGTCGAGATCGGAACAGTATGTCGAACTCACTAAGCTCGATTGCCCATTTTAGCAGACGTCCTGATACATCTGTTCTTTGCAGCACTTGCTTTAATGGAAAGTTAGTAAGAACTTCAATTGAGTAGGCTGGAAGTATGGCCTCAGTTTCCTTGAGGCTGTGATGAGAGCGAGTGCCAATTTCTCCATGTCTAGGTAGCGTGTTTCAGTTGGGAGGAGTGCTTTGCTAACATAGTATACCGGTAACTGGTGCTCATTTCCTTCTCTAACTAGGATAGCGCTAATCCCCTCGTCCAAAACTGCCAAGTACAGTAGTAATGGCTCTTCCAATTGAGGTTTTGACAACAGGGGTGCCACTCCTAAGTGCTTCTTCAGCATTTGTTAGGCTTCTTCGCATTCAGAAGTCCATTGAAACTTCTTTCCTTGCTTCAGCACATTGAAAAAGGGTAAGCTCTTATCTGTAGCTCTGGAGATGAAGCGACTGAGTGTTGCTATCCGACCATTGAGGTTTTATACCTCATTTGATTTCTGAGGTAACCTCATTTCAAGCAAGACCATTATCTTCATTGGGTTCGCTTCGATTCCTCTTTGGTTTACAATATATCCCAAAAACTGACCCAAAGCCACTCCAAAGGTGCACTTGAGGGGGTTCAACTTCATTTTATATTTTCTAAGTATCTAAAAGGTTTGATCGAGGTGACTTACGTGTTCGTTGGCCTGAAGGCTTTTGACTAGCATGTCGTCCATGTAAACCTCTATGGTTTTGTCAATGAGTTCGGCAAACATCATGTTGACCAGCCTCTGATATGTAGCTCTAGCATTTTTCAATCCGAAGGGCATGACTTTGTAGTAGTATAGTCCTCTGTCTGTGATGAATGATGTAGCTTCGTCATCGGGTTGAAACATGGATATCTGGTTATACCCTGAGTATTTATACATGAAGCTCAAGAGTTCATGTCCGACGGTGGAATCCACAAGTTAGTCTATCCTCGGAAGTGGGAAGCTGTCTTTAGGGCATGCCTTATTTAAGTTTGTGAAGTCTACGCACACCCTCCACTCTCCGCTGGCTTTTTCACCAGGACCGGTTGGATATCCACTTCGTATAGATGGTTTATCTGACGAAGCCGCTGCATCTAAGTTTGTGTACTTCGTCTTTCAGTGCCTCATACTGTTTCGGGTTGAGAGTACGTCTTTTCTGCCTATGTGGGGCACAGGAGGAGTTGATGTTAAGATGATGGCAACTGATCATTGGATCTATTCCCACCATGTCTTCATACTTCCAAGCGAAGACATCCAAGTCCTTTTCAGGAAGGTCACCATTTCTTCTTTTGCTTCGGGTGACAGTGCCTTTCCTATTCACAGGACCTGACTGGGGTTCTCTGGGTTGGTGAAGAAGGTCTCAAGTTTTTCCATTGGGGTTGCATTTGACTCGGAGTCAATGGTTCGGGGATCTAATTCATCAAGAGGGTGCCCTTCCTTAGGAGTTTATTCCATGTCGACGTCTTCCTCTTGTTCGGAAGTATGCCCTTGTTTAGGGGTGTCGAGTATTTCCATGTCCAAACTGGGTTCACTAGCAACTTCAGTTATGATCACGTTAACAGTTCGAGGCTCCAATTTTCATAGAGAATCTAAGTAACATGCCCTGGAGCCCATCTGGTCGCCTCGTACCATGGCAATCCCATGTTCAGTCGAAAATTTCATACACAAGTAATGGATGGAGGTGACAACCCAAAGATCTTTCAAGGCAGGTCTTCCTGATACTCCATGGTAGGCTGATCGGTGGTCTACCACCAAGAATTCCATGAAGTGTTGGGCTACTAGAGGAACTGAACCCATCTCGACGAGCAAAGTAATCCGCCCTCGTGGGACGATGCTGTCTCCTGTAAATCCGAACAGTGGATCGGTCATGGGGATCACCCATGTTCAATTTACATTTTGTTGAAGGTGGAGCCAAATAGTATATTCACTGAACTGCCATTGTCGACGAGCATGCGTTTGAGCCCGTTTCTTGCCACTACGGCTCTCACAACTAATGCGTCACAATGGGAGTGGTAAACTCCTTGTGCATCTTCCTGGGAGAAGGTGATTGAGGCCATCCTATTGGTCACTTGGGACTCGTTGACAATGTAGGTGAGCATTGGCGGGTCCTTTGCTTGCCTTGTGTAATTCCTTTTGGCATTCCTGGTGTTGCCACCGATGTGAGGTCTCCCAATGATCGTGTCAATCTCCCTAATGATATGGCCTCTAGAAAATGGGGCCCGATCTCTCTGTCTGGACTCTCCACGGTCCTTTGATTCTCTTCTCTGGGGTGACTGCTTTCTATACCTTCTCTTTCCCCTGTTCCGGGAGGCGGATCTGCGAGAATATTCGTTCCTCTTAGAGGGATGTGGGTCGCTCCGATCCGGGCATCGAGGAGCGTCTCTGCACTTGCTGGTTTCATGCCTATAGAGTTGGTGGAAGGTGCAAAAACTTGCCCCTTCCAAGGGCCTGTTTGACCACTTCTTCTTCTTCTTTTTATTACTATCAGTTCCTCCAGATGGCCTTGCTTCGCCAGGGAAATTCTCGTACGCTAACACCGGCACTGCATTTAGCGTGGCAGAAGCCAGTGCCTGTCCGGAGGTGGGAGCTATTGTATAACCTACTTGAGTCCATTGCTGAGTGACAAGGTACGCAGCGGGTCCTCGACCTACCTGCCTTTGAGATGGAGGGAGCCCTGCGTGGCACGATTTCGGTGATCAATCATCTCTTCACTGACGATCTCAACTCTCATCATTTCTACCAGTTCGTCATAAGTGGTGGGATTTTTGCTGCGCACATCCTTTCAGAACAAAGTGTTCATGTTGAGGCCGCCTTTTAAGGTTGAAAGGGCTTCTCTGTCAGTGACATGCTCGCAATACGTGATTTCGTTTGTAAACCTGGCGAGATAGCTTTTCAGCGTCTTTCCAGGGGCCCGCCTCATATCTTGCAGGCGTTACACCGGGGCGTCTCCTTCTCTGTGTAAGAGGTACTGATTTAAGAATGCCTTCTTCAGATCCGGCCAACTCCTGATGCTCAGGGGAGGAAACCTGCTGTACCACACTTCAGCAGCTTTGCTTAAGGTTAAGTGGAAGGCTCTGCACTTCAAAGCAAGTGAGGCTCCCCTGAGGCTCATCTGCGTCATGTACTTGGTGAGGTGCTTCTCCGGCTCCCCATTTCCTTCATTCTTGGGGATCTTAGGGGGTATGAAATTCGCAGGCATTGGGAAACTTTGGATTTCCCTTAAGAAAGGGAGGTTGTCATCATCATCGTCAATTTCATAGGATCGACAAGGCCCATCTGACCCTTTACTATCTTGAATGACCTGGGGGATGGAGATGCTACTTCTCGACTGCTCCAATCAACTAAGTCCATTCTCTCATTCCTATTTATAGGTGGAGGAGACGCTTGTTCTTGCTCCTGTTCTTGCCGAACTGATCTTTGTACTAAGCGGACCCTATTACTAGGGTCCTGTCCTATTCGGTCGAAGACGCTGACTGACCTTTGTGCTTCATATTCTTGAGGGAAATTGTCCCCCAATTGTGGTTCTGCCGGCTGGCTCCCTTGCACATAGGATGTGGCTTCTGCACCCACTTCTCTTTCGGGGGGCGCTCTCTGTGCTGGCTCACATGGCCTTGAGAATAAGATACTGGGGCTTCCTGAACTGGGTAAGATCCTTGGGGAATTTGAGAGCCCTGGTGACCTCGAGCTTGCATGAGAAGTTTATGTATCACCATATTCTGGGCTGCGATGTCTCTCATGCCCGCAACTATTTGAGTCATTCCTTCAGTGAGCATGACTATTCTTTCACCTTGGCGACGTCGGTGATGGGGTCTCTGGTGAGTGATATTGTTATGGAGCACCTCTTCTTCAGAGGTCTCTCTCATAAGGTTCTCGTCTTCATGACTGTAACTCATCTTATTTCCTTTTTCAAGGGTGATAAGAACTTGGATTATAACTCGACTTTGTTCTTTTTCAAGAACGTGCCCTTTTTAGGGTAAGTCACTAGTTTTCCAGTGATTTCTCCGGTGGAGAATGCAGAACTTTGGACAAGAAGTTTCCCACCGACGATGCCAATCTGTTGACCTCGCAAATTGGACCCTCCACATGGTCAACCGCTAGCTACTCCACGTATTCCTCCTTGCGCACAGTCAACGCACGATCAAATGCACACGGCCGGAACCAGCAGGGGTGGTAGCGGTTGCATACACTCCGACGGTCAAGTTAGCCTCAAGTGATCGGAATAATGCCCAGGGTTGTGCGAAATAGTGGGAATGAGAATATATATTTGCTTGTTATGGAAAGTTATGTTGTAAGAGTTTCATTACCTTTGCCTCTTGTCGAACCTTGGGTATTTATAGGTGAGGCGAACCGTTGGATATGGGACACGCGTATGCATCTGACGGTGTGAGGCATCTGCTCATAGGTGTCAATCAGCCGCGTCTATAGAGTGGGCGGGTAATTACTTCTTCCGAGTTTAGTTGACATAAAGTTGATACGTCACATCAACTAGGCTCATGGAGACATCAAATCAATTAAACCTTGAGCACAAAAAGGATCTTGACATAGATCTTTTTCTGAAATTGGTGGCGGATCCTTTGACAGAGAACCTCGGAATGTACTGCGCCTCGACTTCAGGAACGAGGGCACTTTGGTCGGTTCAGTAAATTGTCTGTGCCTCGCAGCGCGTTAGCAAATCGACAACATTGGTGGCAGCGTCACTTCGAAAACACTTTGGATGGGTGTTGAACACCTAGTATGACACGGGGGGAGACTTTTCGAAGTGATTCAAATAAGGGCGTAACATGTATCATATTGTAATTACGTATGTTAGACTAAAAATCAAAGAATAAATAACAAAGCAATACATATGTTACCTTACCGCATATAAAATAAGGTAATATAAGTAGCACAACAAAATTTACAGAACATCTCCAAAAAGAATTACGCAGTATCACATGATGATGATGTGTAAAATGAGGTAACATAAAACAAAAAATAGAAAAGAGGAAATATAAGAAAAAAAGGGACCTTGATCATTCGTGTGTAATGACTTATAATTTAATTGTGGTCGAGAATCCCATTTTTTCGTTTTTATTTTTATTTTGTAAGACGACTATTAACCTATGTTAATCGCATCTTAGTTATTTAAATTAGGGAAAATTTCATAAGTAAGATTTTAAGTATCACACCTTTCAAAATTAAGAAAACAAGTTCAAACTTCAAAAATCAAAATTTTGCTAAAATTTATATATGATTTAATTAATTAATTAATTATTATGTTAATTGAATATATTTAGGTCCAGAGTTGTACAATTTGGTCACAAATTAACAATTTAGTTAGTTATTTATTATTTTTTGGT